AGATGATAATTCAAATTTACAAAAATATCACAAATAGTTAAAAATCAAAAAATTTCAAAAAAAGATAAATATCAATAATAGTAAATTATTACATTAATAATTTAATCACTCTAATTTATTAATCGATATAATTTTTTTAAATATTTCTGTGTTTAAAGACTTTAAAATAAAAATAAAAAAACAAATATTTTTTTAATTAATATTATTATTTTTATAATTATTTATTATAATTCATTTTTTCATTTAAAAAAATCTATGTTTAATAATTCTAATTAAAAGGATAGAAATATTTTTTATTAATTAAAAATATTAAAATTGATTAAAATAATTTGATAAATATTAAAATATAACTCACCAATTAAATACTTAATAAAATGAAAATTGCGAATTTCTTTACTTACTCATCACAACACAACTTAAATACTAACGAAAGCAATCGTTTTTTTACCATGATTTCTCCTACATATTTATTTATTTAATTCGTTATTTATTCGAATATTTAAAGTTAGAATAAAATTGGTGATGAGGGTGCAAAAGATTTAGGCACAGGAATAGCCTAGTGCAAGAATATCACAACTTTAACACTTTTTTTAAGGTAAAAATTAAATTTATTGATTGATAAACTAATAATTGAGAATTGATTATTTTAAGCTTTTGACTTAGTTATTAGCTAATTAAGGCAACTTGTCATTTACTAACTAACTTGCTTATTTACTTACTTACTAACCAAATAATATATAACAAATTTCTTTACTTATTCATCACAACACAACTAAAATACTAACGAAAGCCATCGTTTTTTTACCATCCTTTCTCCTCCATATTTATTTATTTAATTCGTTATTTATTCTTATATTTAAAGAACGAATAATATTGGTGCATAGGGTGCAAAAGATTTAGGCACAGGGATAGCCTAGTGCAATAATATCACAACTTTAATGCTTGATTTATAGTAAAATTAAATTTATTGATTGATAAACTAATAATTGAGAATTGATTATTCTAAGCTTTTTACTTAGTTATTAGCTAATTAAGCCAGCTTGTCATTTACTAACTAACTTGCTTATTTACTTACTTACTAACCAAATAAAATATAACGAATTTCTTTACTTACTCATCACAACACAACTAAAATACGAATGAAAGCCATCGTTTTTTTTACCATCCTTTCTCCTCCATATTTATTTATTTAATTCGTTATTTATTCGAATATTTAAAGTTAGAATAAAATTGGTGATGAGGGTGCAAAAGATTTAGGCACAGGAATAGCCTAGTGCAAGAATATCTCAACTTTAAAGATTGATTTAAAGTAAAATTAAATTTATTGATTTATAAACTAATAATTGAGAATTGATTATTTTAAGCTTTTGACTTAGTTATTAGCTAATTAAGCCAGCTTATCATTTACTAACTAACTTGCTTATTTACTTACTTACTTACTAACCAAATAATATATAACGAATTTGTTTACTTATTCATCACAACACAACTAAAATACTAACGAAAGCCATCGTTTTTTTACCATCCTTTCTCCTCCATATTTACTTATTTAATTGGTTATTTATTCTTATATTTAAAGTTAGAATAATATTGGTGCATAGGGTGCAAAAGATTTAGGCACAGGAATAGCATAGTTCAAGAATATCACAACTTTAATGCTTGATTTATAGTAAAATTAAATTTATTGATTGATAAACTAATAATTGAGAATTGATTATTCTAAGCTTTTTACTTAGTTATTAGCTAATTAAGCCAGCTTGTCATTTACTAACTAACTTGCTTATTTACTTACTTACTAACCAAATAAAATATAACGAATTTCTTTACTTACTCATCACAACACAACGAAAGCCATCGTTTTTTTACCATCCTTTCTCCTCCATATTTATTTATTTAATTCTTTATTTATTCTTATATTTAAAGTTAGAATAAAATTGGTGATAAGGGTACAAAATATTTAGGCACAGGAATAGCCTAGATCCAGAATATCACAACTTTAAGGCTCAATTTAGGGTAAAAATTAAATTTATTGATTGATAAACTAATAATTGAGAATTGATTATTTTAAGCTTTTGACTTAGTTATTAGCTAATTAAGCCAGCTTGTCATTTACTAACTAACTTGCTTATTTACTTACTAACCAAATAAAATATAACGAATTTCTTGACTAACTCATCACAACACTACTAAAATACTAACGAAAGCCATCGTTTTTTTACCATCCTATCTCCTCCATATTTATTTATTTAATTCGTTATTTATTTTTATATTTAAAGAACGAATAATATTGGTGCATAGGGTGCAAAAGATTTAGGCACAGGGATAGCCTAGTGCAATAATATCACAACTTTAATGCTTGATTTATAGTAAAATTAAATTTATTGATTGATAAACTAATAATTGAGAATTGATTATTCTAAGCTTTTTACTTAGTTATTAGCTAATTAAGCCAGCTTGTCATTTACTAACTAACTTGCTTATTTACTTACTTACTAACCAAATAAAATATAACGAATTTCTTTACTTACTCATCACAACACAACTAAAATACGAATGAAAGCCATCGTTTTTTTTACCATCCTTTCTCCTCCATATTTATTTATTTAATTCGTTATTTACTCTTATATATAAAGGTGGAATAAAATTGGTGATGAGGGTGCAAAAGATTTAGGCACAGGAATAGCCTAGTGCAAGAATATCTCAACTTTAAAGATTGGTTTAAAGTAAAATTAAATTTATTGATTTATAAACTAATAATTGAGAATTGATTATTTTAAGCTTTTGACTTAGTTATTAGCTAATTAAGCCAGCTTATCATTTACTAACTAACTTGCTTATTTACTTACTTACTTACTAACCAAATAATATATAACGAATTTGTTTACTTATTCATCACAACACAACTAAAATACTAACGAAAGCCATCGTTTTTTTACCATCCTTTCTCCTCCATATTTACTTATTTAATTGGTTATTTATTCTTATATTTAAAGTTAGAATAATATTGGTGCATAGGGTGCAAAAGATGTAGGCACAGGAATAGCCTAGTGCAAGAATATCACAACTTTATAGCTTGGTTTAAAGTAAAAATTAAATTTATTGATTGATAAACTAATAATTGAGAATTGATTATTTTAAGCTTTTGACTTAGTTATTAGCTAATTACGCCAGCTTGTCATTTACTAACTAACTTGCTTATTTACTTACTAACCAAATAAAATATAACGAATTTCTTTACTTACTCATCACAACACAACTAAAATACTAACGAAAGCCATCATTTTTTAAAATACTACGTATAGAATACACACATAGCGCACTGTTCACATATGCTCAAATTAATCAAAAAGAATCAAATTATTTGTGAGCATCTTGTAAATTCACTTTTAAATGTGAACTTTCATTACCACTGCTACAACTTAAATAAAATAAACATTTAAAAAAATTAAATAAAAATAAAAAAATATTTTAAGCCTAAAAATAGCCAAACTAAAATTTTATTGACATATTAAAAAAAAAAAAATTAAAAATAATAAAAAAATTCTAAAATTTCTTTAATTATCTGATAAATTTAATAAAAAAATAATATTTTATCAATAAAACCTACTTTTTTATGCTTATATTATAAGATGCTTCTTTGAGTTTATCATAATTTCTATAATTTTATTAAATAATAAATTAAAAAAATAATATAATCAATTTTATATTTTAAATATCTTGAAAATTATTATTTTTATATATTCTGCAAGAATTATCAACTTTGCGTTCTCTCTTAAAATGCTTAATTTTAATGTGCGAAGTTTTTTAAATAATATTATGTGCATTTATAACATAATTACCCTTTTTAATAGCTATTAGATTTATTTAAAACATAATTATATTTATTAAACATAATGACTTTCAATATATTTTTTCTGATAAAAATAATTAGTTGTAATCTTAAATCTAACAAAATAATTATTTCTTTATTTAAAAAATTTTGATTGATTTAAATTTTATTTGTTGAAATTATAACTTTTTATTTTAAAGTTTAGATGATTATTAGACAATCTAATTGAAGAATTTATTAGAAACATAAATACAAGCTAAAGTAAAATATAATTAGTTAAATTTATAAAAAATTCATTTATTTTAACTAATAAAATAGATAACTATATATTGACAATCAACTAAAAGTTAAATATAAAAAACCTGAAATTTAATAATTTTATAAAATAAAAAGTTAAATTCTGCATAAATAAATTATAAAAAAAAATATTTTTTAATTTTGTTATTTTTATAAATTTATTGATTAATTAAATCGTAGCTATTAATAAAAATATGATTTATACCTAAAAACTTTGTTTAAATCCTAATCACAAGTTAATCTTGTTTAAAATAATTTTATTTTTAAAAACATGAACTGATGTGGTGAATTTATATAATTTATTAGAAATATTATTATTTGAATCAGACAATATCTCTTTAAATATGCCCCCAAAAAAACTTTAATATTTAATAAATATAAAGTAGTCAAATATTTATTTATCTATACATATAATTACTTTTCTCTCACTAAATTTAATTCAAAATTATAAAATAATATTTATTTCCTAAAAAATTTTGAAAATAGATTAAAATCATATTTCATTTTACATAATCTTTATCACTATAAAATGTTTGATAGAATAATTTGTTTCATTATCAAAGATTATTTCAGAATAACCACCAAAATGTTAATAATAATATTATTCTTCATATTCATCCATTTCACCTTCATCAATATAAAATATCTGGACATATAGCTATTCTCGATATTTTATTTTAGTAAGAAAATAGTAAATTACTTAATTATAATTTTAATATTAAATAATTATATATATGAATATTTAACAATAATATGTAGTTTATATTTTATATTTTTAAGTATTTTATTTTAAAGATATTTTAAAAACATTAAAATTGATTAAAATAATTTGATAAATATTAAAATATAACCCACCAATTAATTACTTAATAAAATGAAAATTGGTAAGCAAAAGCTTGATACATCTTTTTTTACCATCATTTCTCCTCTATATTTATTTATTTAATCCGTTATTTATTCTTATATTTAAAGTTGTAATTATATTGGTGCATAGGGTGTAAAAGATTTAGGCACAGGAATAGCCTAGTGCAAGAATATCACAACTTTAACGCTTGATTTATAGTAAAATTAAATTTATTGATTGATAAACTAATTATTGAGAATTGATTATTTGACTTAGTTATTAGCTAATTAAGCCAGCTTGTCATTTACTAACTTACTAACCTAATAAAATATAACAAATTTGTTTACTTACTCATCACAACACAACTAAAATACTAACGAAAGCCATCGTTTTTTTACCATCCTTTCTCCTCCATATTTATTTATTTAATTCGTTATTTATTCTTATATTTAAAGACACAATAATATTGGTTATGAGGGTGCAAAAGATTTAGGCACAGGAATAGCCTAGTGCCATAATATCACAACTTTAACTATTAATTTAAGGTAAAAATTAAATTTATTGATTGATAAACTAATAATTGAGAATTAATTATTTTAAGCTTTTGACTTAGTTATTAGCTAATTAAGCCAGCTTGTCATTTACTAACTAACTTGCTTATTTACTAACTTACTAACCAAATAAAATATAACGAATTTCTTTACTTACTCATCACAACACAACTAAAATACTAACGAAAGCCATCGTTTTTTTACCATCCTTTCTCCTCCATATTTATTTATTTAATTCGTTATTTATTCTTATATTTAAAGTTGGAATAAAATTGGTGATGAGAATGCAATAGATTTAGGCACAGGAATAGCCTAGTGCAAGAATATCACAACTTTAACGCTCAATTTAGGGTAAAAATTAAATTTATTGATTGATAAACTAATAATTGAGAATTGATTATTTTAAGCTTTTGACCAAGTTTTTAGCTAATTAAGCCAGCTTTTCATTTACTAACTAACTTGCTTATTTACTAATTTACTAACCAAATTAAATTTTACGAATTTCTTTACTTACTCATTACAACACAACTAAAATACTAACCAAAGCCATCGTTTTTTTACCATACTTTCTCCTCCATATTTATTGAATTCGTTATTTATTCTTATATTTAAAGATATAATAATATTGGTGCATAAGGTGCAAAAGATTTAGGCACAGGAATAGCCTAGTGCCAGAATATCACAACTTTAACTCTTAATTTAAGGTAAAAATTAAATTTATTGATTGATAAACTAATAATTGAGAATTGATTATTTTAAGCTTTTGACTTAGTTATTAGCTAATTAAGCTAGCTTGTCATTTACTAACTAACTTGCTTATTTACTAACTTACTAACCAAATAAAATATAATGAATTTGCTTACTTACACATCACAACACAACTAAAATACTAACGAAAGCCATCATTTTTTTACAATCATTACTCATGCATATTTATTTATTTAATTCGTAATTTATTCTTATATATAAAGAGAGAATAATATTGGTGAATAGGGTACAAAAGATTTAGGAACAGGAATAACCTAGTGCCAGAATATCACAAATTTAACGCTCAATTTAGGGTAAAAATTAAATTTATTGATTGATAAATTAATAATTGAGAATTGATTGTTTTAAGCTTTTGAGTTAGTTATTACCTAATTAAGGCAGCTTGTCATTTACTAACTAACTTGCTTATTTACTAACTTACTAACCAAATAAAATATAATGAATTTCTTTACTTACTCATCTCAACACAACTAAAATACGGTAACATCATTTTTTTACCATCCTTTCTCCTCCATATTTATTTAATTCGTTATTTATTCTTATATTTATAGAGCGAATAAAATTGGTAATGAGGGCGCAAAAGATTTAGGCACAGGAATAGCCTAGTGCAAGAATATCACAACTTTAACGCTCAATTTAGGGTAAAAATTAAATTTATTGATTGATAAACTAATAATTAAGAATTGATTATTTTAAGTTTTTGACTTAGTTATTAGCTAATTAAGCCAGCTTTTCATTTACTAACTAACTTGCTTATTTACTTACTTACTAACCAAATAAAATATAACGAATTTCTTTACTTACTCTCACAACACAACTAAAATACTAACGAAAGCCATCATTTTTTAAATCCTTTCTCCTCCATATTTATTTATTTAATTCGTTATTTATTCATATATTTAAAGTTGGAATAAAATTGGTGATGAGTGTGCAAAAGATTTAGGCAAAGGAATAGCCTAGTGCAAGAATATCACAACTTTAACGCTCAATTTAGGGTAAAAATTAAATTTATTGAATGATAAACTTATAATTGAGAATTGATTATTTTAAGCTTTTGACTTAGTTATTAGCTAATTAAGCCAGCTTGTCATTTACTAACCAATTTGCTTATTTACTTACTAACCAAATAAAATATAACGAATTTCTTTACTTTCTGATCGCAACACGACTAAAATACTAACGAAAGCCATCATTTTTTTATCACCCTTTCTCCTCCATATTTATTTATTTAATTCGTTATTTATTCTTATATTTAAAGTTGGAATAAAATTTGTGATGAGGATGCAAAAGATTTAGGCACAGTAATTGCCTAGTGCAAGAATATCACAACTTTAACGTTCAATTTAGGGTAAAAATTAAATTGATTGATAGATAAACTAATAATTGAGAATTGATTATTTTAAGATTTTGACTTAGTTATTAGCTAATTAAGCCAGCTTGTCATTTACTAACTAACATGCTTATTTACTAACTTACTAACAAATTAAAATATAACAAATTTGTTTAGTTACTCATCACAACACAACTAAAATACTAACGAAAGCCATCGTTTTTTTACCATCCTTTCTCCTCCATATTTATTTATTTAATTCGTTATTTATTCTTATATTTAAAGAGCGAATAATATTGGTGCATAGGGTGCAAAAGATTTAGGCACAGGAATAGCCTAGTGCAAGAATATCACAACTTTAACGCTCAATTTAGGGTAAAAATTAAATTTATTGATTAATAAACTAATAATTGAGAATTGATTATTTGACTTAGTTATTAGCTAATTAAGCCAGCTTGTCATTTACTAACTTACTAACCTAATAAAATATAACAAATTTATTTACTTACTCATCACAACACAACTAAAATACTAACGAAAGCCATCATTTTTTAAATCCTTTCTCCTCCATATTTATTTATTGAATTCGTTATTTATTCTTATATTTATAGAGCGAATAATATTGGTGATGAGGGAGCAAAAGATTTAGGCACAGGAATAGCCTAGTGCAAAAATATAACAACTTTAACGCTTAATTTAAGGTAAAAAATTAATTTATTGATTGATAAACTAATAATTAAGAATTGATTATTTTAAGCTTTTGACTTAGTTGTTAGCTAATTAAGCCAGCTTGTCATTTACTAACTAACTTGCTTATTTACTTACTTACTAACCAAATAAAATATAACGAATTTCTTTACTTACTCATCACAACACAACTAAAATACTAACGAAAGCCATCGTTTTTTTACCATCCTTTCTCCTCCATATTTATTTATTTAATTCGTTATTTATTCTTATATTTAAAGATATAATAATATTGGTTATGAGGGTGCAAAAGTTTTAGTCACAGGAATAGCCTAGTGCCAGAATATCACAACTTTAACGCTTGATTTATAGTAAAATTAAATTTATTGATTGATAAACTAATAATTGAGAATTGATTATTTTAAGCTTTTGACTTAATTATTAGCTAATTAAGCCAGCTTGTCATTTACTAAATAATTTACTTACTAACCAAATAAAATATAACGAAATTCTTTACTTACTCATCACAACACAACTAAAATACTAACGAAAGCCATTTTAAAATACAATGTAAAGAATACACACATAGCGCACTGTTCACATATGCTCAAATTAATCAAAAAATATCAAATTATTTGTAAGCATCTTGTAAATTCAATTTTAAATGTTAACTTTCATTACCACTGCTACAACTTAAATAAAATAAACATTTAAAAATATTAAATTAAAATTAAAAAATATTTTAAGCCTAAAAATAACCAAACAATAAATTTTATTGACATATTTAAAAAAAAATTAAATAAAAATAATAAAAAAATTCTAAAATTTCTTTAATTATCTGATAAATTTAATAAAAAAAATAATATTTTAGCAATATAACCTATTTTTTATGCTAATATTATTAGATGCTTCTTTGAGTTTATCATAATTTCTATAATTTTATTAAATAATAAATTAAAAAAATAATATAACCGATTTTATATTTTAAATATCTTGAAAATTATGATTTTTATATATTCTGCAAGAATTACCAACTGTGCGTTCTCTCTCAAAATGCTTAATTTTAATGTGCGAAGTTTTTTAAATTACATTATGTGCATTTAAAACATAATTACCATTTTAAATAGCTATTAGATTTATTTAAAACATAATTATATTTATTAAACATAATGACTTTCAATATTTTTTCTGATAAAAATAATTAGTTGTAATCTTAAATCTAACAAAATAATTATTTCATTATTTAAAAATGTTTGATTGATTTAAATTTTATTTATTGAAATTATAACTTTTAATTTTAAAGTTTAGATTATGATTAGAGAATCTAATTGAAGAATTCATTAGAAAAATAAATAATACAAGCAAAAGTAAAATATAATTAGTTAAATTTATAAAAAATTGATTTACTTTAACTAATAAAATAGATAACTATAAATTGACAATCAACTAAAAGTTAAATATAAAAAACCTGAAATTTAATAATTTTATAAATTCAAAAGATAAATTCTGTATAAATAAATTACAAAAAAAAATATTTTTTAATTTTGTTATTTTTATAAATTTATTGATTAATTAAATCATAAATATTAATAAAAATATGATTTATACCTAAAAACTTTGTTTAAATCCTAATCATAAGTTGATCTTCTTTAAAATAATTTTATTTTTAAAAACATGAACTGATGTGGTGAATTTATATAATTTATTAGAAATACTATTATTTGAATAAGACAATATCTCTTTAAATATGCTCCCAAAAAAACTTTAATATTTAATAAAGTCAAATATTTATTTATCTATGCAAATTATTACTTTTCTCTCACTAAATTATTTCCTAAAAAATTTTGAAAATAGATTAAAATCATATTTCATTTTATATAATCTTTATCTCCATCTATATCACTATAAAATGTTTGATCGAATAATTTTATTCGTGATCAAGATTAATTTCAGAATAATCACCAAAATGTTAATAATAATCTTATTCTTCATATTCATCCATTTTACCTTCACCAATATAAAATATCTGGACATATTGATTATGGATTAAAAATTACCAGTTTTATATTTCTGAATTTTTATTTTTTAGTGTTTTTAAACAAAATTAATTTAAGATGAAAAAGATTCGAATAATAAGGAATTATTATTTTTGTTAATAAATTATTAAAGAAAATTAACATAAAAATTATCTGAAAAATATAAATTATCATAAATAACTATATAAAGATTTATTAAATAATTTAATTCATAAAATAACAAACAATTAAAGATCATATATATAAATTAAATAACCGAATAAGAATAAGGAGAATATGAAAAAGAATACAGTTTAATAAAATCTGAATAAGAATAACCAAAAAAATCTTTTTAATAATCTGAGTAGGAATAATCAAAAAAATATATTTAATAATCTTTTATTTAAGATGAATAATAAATAATCTCAATAAATGTCATATATTAGTTATTTAAATAGTTAATAATTTCAAGAATAGAATCCTTAAATATCCAAGGATAACATAACTTTTGCTTTCCAAATTAGATTGTTCATCATTAATAAAAAGGATTTTAACATAAAAATAATTATTAATTAAAAAGATAATTAAATTGTATGCCACAAATATTAATTTTTTACATTATGAAAAACTTTTAGATAGTGTTAGAAACAATGAAAATATAAAAATTTTAGATAAAAAGTAAATTTAATTGATAATATAAAATTATTCAGACATAGTAATAATAGCAACCTTAACCAATTTAATAAATTTATATTCAGCTTAAACTTTTAGGTTCAAGTGTATATTAAGGGAGAGTTAGCCATTTTTTTTATTTACTATTTATAAATTAATATGAAATTTTATTTTTCTTATTAATAAAATTATTTCCTTGATCGCTCATTATCAGCAATCAATCATTTTTAAAATACTAAATTGCTATAAAACTCACTCTCAAAAGGATATTTAAAAGACTGTTATATTTATCTCTCTATTACAAAAAAAAGCTGCAATTATTAATACTCAGGTAAAAATAGTAAGAGAAAAGTATTTCAAATAGTGATATTTTTTTGTAAGCTTTTGTAGAAAATATAAATAATTA